CTTTGGGGGCTGTGGGCACATGCTGGCCGCACAGGGTGGGGTGGCGGGCTTTCTATAGGTTCTGGGCTGCGGGTACAGATGGAGTTCTCCGGCGCAGTGCAGCCCTCGGGCTCAGAGGTGGCTGCAGGCTCCCTCAGGCCAAGACTCACCCTTTTCCTCCACTGAAGACTCCTTAAATTGGAGGGGCCAGAACAGGACAGCCCTTTACATCCCAGCCACCTTCTCTGCCCTTTGGGAGCTGGTAAATCTCTAGCCTTGAGATCTCCGCGGGGCTTCTAGAACGGGCGGGCGCTCCCACCTTCTATTTCTCATTTTATTACCCTGATTGGGGGGAGGGCTTCATCCGCCAAACTTGGGGGAGCGGGGAGGAATATTTCCAAAGCACAGGGAAGAACACCAACCTGAATCAGAACAGTAGCGGCAATAATTCTCGGCGAAAATGCTGGAGGAGAATATGGGATATTAAAATAATAGCCATAGCCAGTATTCTCCCCAGATGCTTCCGGTCAGAAGGGAAGAAAGCAGGAACGGGCTGAAACATGGGGAAGGGAGATACCGTGGTCCTGGAAGAAATATAACAGGGCCAGATTTAACTAGGCAAGAGGGGAAGTGACCCCCAGAGAGAAGGAGGGAATTTCTCCCCGTGAGGCCAAAACGGACTCCCTCTTTTGCAAAACCGAGTTGGTCCAACTTTCGATTGTCGTATCTATTGGCGTGGTGATTCTTACTCCTTTCTCCAGTCCTTTCTGGTCTTCTCCCTACTTTCCGACTCCGGGGGAGCCCTGAGTCAGGCCGGGACGCACTGGAAAAAGAAGCGGAAAAGATGGTGTCCTCGTAAGCTAGTTTTTTTTTTTTTTTTCTTCTTGAGAGGCAAGAAATACGGTGGTTTTTCTTTCTTTCAAAAATACTCAACTTTCTTTAAAAACAGAGGCAGGAGCGAGAAAAATATCAAGAGCGGCCTCCCCTTACTTTTTTGTTCGGCTTTGTTTTGGACTCTAAATTAAAGTAGGAACCTCTACTCTTCTACCCAGGGTGATATTAGAAATAGGGCTAGAATTTTGCAAAGTGAGGAAAACGCAATTGGGGAGGGGGTCGCGGGGGGAACCCAGCTGGGAGCAGGTCGAGGGAAGCCGGGGACCCTCCTGAAGAAGGAAGGGAGGCTGCTTGGTGCGCGGCGGCTCCTTGGAACTTACCGCCCCAGCGACTGGGGGGAAAGGTTGGAAGATGCTCAGAACTGGTCAAGGACTGTATTCGGTCCGTGGCCCGGGCTTCCAGAGTGTCTGGGACAGCGGCTATCGGAAGCTGAGGTTGCGGAATCCCGTGCGGGCTGAGCCCAGGGCAGCTGGGGCCCGGCGCCGGAGATGCGAGAGGAGGCAGCCAAGGGGAAAGGAGCTCTCGCCGCGCTCGGGGTTTCGCCTTCCCCTTCCAGCCCCGGCGGGGCCCAGGCCTCCGCTTCCGGCCGACCTCAGCCCGGGGATCAAAAGGGAACCACCTCGAGGCCTCGGGCGAAGGATTTTGGCCTGCGCTCTGGGCACCCGGGAGCGAACGCTTCACCCCAAGGGGCTCGGATTGGGGAAAAGAGAATAGCTCACCGTTTGGGAAACAAAAGAGAACTTGGGGGAAGCCACTGCGGCCCGGCGGGGAGGAGAGACGCGGGTCCTGCCCGCTGGAAGCGGCTGAGTCCGCGGCCCGGCCGCCCCGGGCGCCCGCGTCCAGCGCTGGAAGCGCTGCCCGTGATCCCCGCGGGCCTGACCTCAGGTCCCAAGGCGGCTCGTTCAGCCGCGTTCCTGACTTTTCGCGGCCGCTCCAGCCCCGGAAGGACCCGGCCTGGAGCCAGGCCGCGCTTCGGAAAGCCCTGGGGGGTTAGGGGGGAGCGAAACCCGGGATGGAATCCCCGAAGTTGGGGGCAAGGCCAGATTCCGACCTTCGCTTCCCCCTCGGCCCCTCGGCGGGGAGCTTACCCTTGCGGAAGGCCCGACGCTCGCTGCCTCGCCCCCGGGCAGGCCTAGCTCTTCGCTCCGCGCCGCCGGGGGCGTCTACGCCGTACGCTTCCCGACTGCACCCGGCGCGTCTCCAGCTGCGCGCGAAAGCTGGAGCGCATCCTCAGCGGGGCGCTTCGGAGTTAGGCCCATTGATGAGAGCAAAAATAATAATGATAATCGTTATTCCAGAACAAAACCGAGCGCCTCGCCCTTTGCAGGCCCGGTCGCTGTAATTCTTCTCTGCAGAAATCACCTCCGGTACCCCGACCCCACTCGCCCCCCGCCCCTCGCCGGGGCCGCGCTGGCACGAACTGCGTCCGCGGCCCTGGCTAGAGGTGCTCTCGCAGAGTGGACTTTTTTTTTTTTTCTCAGTAAGCTACACTGCGGACGACCCTCTTCCTTCCCTCCAACGCCCGGGTCTCATTTCCCCTGCGCGATAACCCGGTAATTACGTGTACGCAGGACTGCGCGCAGGCACGGAGTTACCGCGTCCCACACATAACCAGTTAGAGCGGGCGCCTGGGTGTTCGTTCGCCGAGAGCTCCTCCTCGGAAAAAAATAATTTTTAAATAATAAGAGGACTCTCGTGACTCCTCCAAGGGACTTCGTTCCACCTCGGAACAATTTGATTTCTTCCCAGTCGTGGGCTGAGATTGGCTCCCACCTCCCTTCGCCAAGAGCTCCCCCCTCCCCCTCCCTAAGAAAATCGATCTCGGCTCTATTTGTGCCTGATGTTTGCCACCCGCATTTCCCCCGGAGAGCGCTGGGTTTGTTTATTTCTTTATTTATTCCCGTGGCCCGGGCGTCGGGGACTTGTGGCTGCGCAGACCCGGGGCTGAGAGGCGAAGACGGACAGAAATTAACCTCCCGAGCCGCTGCCCCCCAGTCGAGCGTGACAGCGCGCGGGCCGGTTGCGTGATTCGTGACGTCTCCAAGTCCTATAGGTGCAGCCGCTGGTGAGATAGTCCGTATCGCCTGGTTGCCTCTTTATTTTATTGGGGTGTGCCTGGTAATAAATAGTAATATTTAATTTGTCGAAGACCACAAACCAGCCTCGAGCTGGGAGGTACCTAGTCCTCTTGACAGACGCTGCAAGAAGGCTTGGCCTAGACGGGGTCTCTTTTGGGGGTCCTTTGCAAACGCTTCACCTGAACCCCCCCCCCCCCACTCCCCAGCAAGGCGCCCTCACTGCTGGCTTCTGCGCTGGAAAGAAGAGGTGGGAGTTTTGGAGGTGAGTGTCCCCTTGGACAGCTATGGGGGGGAGGGTAGGTTGCTCTCAGCACTTGACGTGCCTCCGGCCTCCTGGCTTCCCGCTGCAACTCGGCCCTGCCGAATGCACACTCCGGTAGATGCTACTTTTCACCATGGAAATGAGGAGGCACTCCTTGCATTTTGCCTTGGAGTCTTGCCTGGCAAAGAACAGATTCCCGTTGGAGGTTTCAAAATTCCAGTTTCTTGTGGTGGCCGGCACAAACTGCGCTCCACCGGCTGAGTGAATCTGGCTAGGCAGTCAACTTGGGGGAGTTCAGCTTTGCCCTCCCGGGAGGGGGCCTCCGAATTATTTATGGGGATTTCTTTTATCCGCAAATCTCGGAGAATTTAAAGGGATTGGAGAGGTCTTTCCGTATTTCCCCTTCCTTTTGCCCGAGATGCAGAGAATCAAGCTCATCCTGAAGCCACCTTTGTTTTCCATTTTGGGCGGGAGATGGAGGGGGGTCACCTCCTTAGCAAGCCCAAAGTTCTCTGAGCTGACAGTGCGGAAGGGTGAGGGCGTTTTCACAAATAAATAAACCGCCTTGCTGAAAGGTTGTTTGCAAACAAACCTGGAAGGCGGAGAGAGAAGCGGAGCAAATGCCGGGCTTGGTCTTTCTCCCCCGCACGGCCCCACTTTTAGGGATGGACAAGCTGCTTTGTAATTTTGCAGCGATGTGTTACACCCAGCGGGGCCCTCCGATCTCCAGGGCATTTCCCCCTCTCCTTGCCTCTCCCCAGACCTTGGCCTGCAGGCCCCTGTCTCTAACCAGAGCCCTTGAAAAGAACAAGGCGACGGGGGGGGGGGTATAGGAGACGGGGTGGGGGGTTAACCAAGGGAACCCTGACATTTGTTCTGAGCATCAGTGGTTGGTGTTCCAGACTGGGTCTGCTCCAGCGAAGACCTGCTCACTGTGTTTACGCTTCTATTGACCTCTTCAACCCTCAAAATAATACATTTCAGAGAGGGGGAGGGCAGGGAGAGGGGCCCAGCGGAGATGAAAACCCCAGCCAGTCTCCAATGACTGTTTGATTATTTTAATAAAACTGGGTACTGCCTCGCGAACATCTCCAGCCCGGGAGGTCTGGTGGCCCCGGGGGTGGGAGCCCAAGGCAATTTCTTGGCATCTTTGATCTCGGGCCCCCCACCCCAGTGCACCTTCACCCTGCCCTCACCCTGGAGTCGCTGAGAGTCCGGGTGGTGAGTGGGGAGGGGAGAGATGTCAGGGGGGCCTTCGGCGGCCAGCCCGGCCAGGCGGGGTCACGCGGCTCTGTCTTGAGGTCAGCGGTGGAGGGAGAACGCAGGCCAGTCTTTAGAGGAGGCACAAGGCGTGTGTGAGTGTGTGTGTGTGTGTGTGTGTGCGCGCACGCGCGTGCGCAGCATAGGGCGGTCAGACTCCTTGCTCTTCACAGCCGAGTCCCCGAGATTACTTCCCGGGCAGAAGCCGGCCCGGTTTGCGATGATTTGTGCAGAATTTTTTTGCAGCCACCGAGCCCAGCTCGGAGAAGCGGAGATGGATGGAGGTTGGGAAGGGGGTGGAGAGGAGGGGTGATCTCTGGTCTGGGTTTGAGACCAGTGCAGTGATTTGAGTGTTCGGGGGAATCTAGTGGAAAAGGTGGTTGGGGGAGGGAGTGAGAAGAGAGAGGGAGGGAGAGAGGGAAGGGAGGGGGGGGCGGGAAAGAGGCAGAGGCAGGCTGTGAGCAGTGGGAGCTAGTTGGATAGGCAATTTCAGTACTTTGTAAAGCATCAAGGCAGCCCAACGTCACTGAGCTCAGCTGAGTCGGCTTGTATTTCTGAGAGAGAGAGAGAGAGTTGGGGGGGGAGGCTCTTTTTCTTTAGATTCCAGAACTTTAACCCTGAAAGCGGCGCTCAGAAAGGACCTTGACCGTTCCCTACTTCCCGCTCCCTCCGGTCTCCCAACTTTCACTCCAGAGGGGTGCAAGTGAGGAGGGGGCCCTGAGGTTCTACCATCAAGGGTGCTCCCGGAGGCTGCCGCTTGCGTTCCTTGGAGCCCTTCTGGCGCCGGACAGCTTGGAAGCCTTTAGGGAGAGCGAGCGAGCGAGCGAGCGCAAAGCCGAGGAGGTGTGTGTTGGAGGTGGGCAGTCGCTGCCGAGGCTCCAGCGGTGGGTGATCCTTTGTAGGCAGCGGTCGCCGCTAGTCTGGGCGAGCCGTCCCCGGCATAACCCCCCTCCCCGGAGCCACCATGCCCGCGCCCCCGCCTCGCCGCCGGCTTCCCTGCTAGGAGCAAGAAGGGATGTGGTGAATGCACCGGCTTCACCGAGCGAGGTAACCGCCCCTTGCAGACGGCCCGGGAGGCTCGGGAGGGAGCCCGCCGGCCGCGCGGGCCCCGGGAGGCGCGGGACGGCGGCGGCGGCGACCCCAGCCGCGCCCGGATCCCGCAGAACCCGGCTTTGCAGGGGACCCGGCGCGGGCCCCGGGGCGCCCGGGCGCGCGGAGCCCGGCGGGGAGGCGCGCGGCCCGCCGAGCGGCGGGGAGCTCCGCGGGACGAGCGGCCTGGTTCTGTCAAAGCGCATCTGGCTCGCGTCCGCCGAGCCCCGAGCTGCCGGCGACCGCGGCCGCGGAGCGCGCGGGGCACGGTCCCTGCGGCCCGCGGCGGCAGGGAGCGCACGTGGGCGACGCCAGCCCCGCGTTCTTTTGTTGCGAGCCGGCTGCGGGGCTGCCCTCCCCGCCTCTCCCGAACCCCGAGGGCGGCGGCGGCGGGCGAGCGAAGCTGTTTGGGAGCCGGGCCTCGCGAGCCGTCCTCGCCGGCCCCACTCCGGGGATCCAGCCACTGCAGGGATCCGGATTTTGGCTTAAGCGGCTGCTAAGCCTTGGAGGGGGGGGGCATCCTTGGCGCCCCCTTCTCAGGCCAGCGGGGGTTTGAGGGAGGAAATCCCTGCTTGCAGACGTGGAGGAGACTGGAAAGCCATCAGAGCGGGGAGGCAGGCTCCTCCGGGCTGGAGCAGTCCTGCAGCTGTTATTTTTCGGGTTCCAGCCTCCTAAGCGTGCAGCCCCGCGCCCTTCTCCCCGTTGCGCCGGCCCTAGGACGCCCATCCGGCGCCCGAAGCCCAGAATCTACCCGGGACCCACTGTGTCCTCCCCGGGCCGCGAGCTGGGGCCTGCACTTCCAGCGAGCCAGGCCCGGCCGAAGCTCCGAGAAGCTGCTCTCGGCCTGGCCGCTCGTCAAAACCCCCGTGCGGAGCTGGAGAGCGGAGAAAGCCCGGGGATCGCGCAGCCCCCGCGGGTGCAGCGCGCCGGCCTCCCGCGCCCTGCAGCGCGCCGCCCTCCCCGCCGCTGCGCCGCCGCTTTCGGCCCTTTCGGTTCGGCTCCTTTTACTTTTTACCGTTGCCGAAGGTGGGGGGAAAGGGGAGGACTCTTACTGTTCAAGGACTTTTAATTTTAAGGCCTGTAAGTGATACAGGATGAACACGAATTCTCCTTGGGGCCGCGTCTCACCGTCTGCAAATCTTCCCCTCCCCGGTTCCCGGTTTTGCAAGAGGCGGGTTATTGCAGACATTTTGCCCTGCGGGCCGAGAATATTCCCCTGGTGACTTTTAAGACACAGAGCGGTGATGTCGTTCTGTAGGTTTGATGGAGGAAACCAGTTCTCGGAAGGACACTAGGTTTTTGTTTTGTTTTTGGTTCGTGCCCAGTGGCTTCCAAAAATACCCAGGCCTTATCTTTATTGGCCCTTCCAGAAGTCCAGACAAATTTGACGGGCAGCCGGCTTATCGTGGGGAGCCTGCGCAGGGGAGATGCGAGCCTCGCCTCCTCCTGGCCTGACCCGGGGTCTTTTGCAAGAGGTGGTGCGTGCTCCTCGGGTAATAATGATAGTAATTACGGGATCTTCCGCTGCCTCCTTCAGCTGCGAACGGCCGAGCTGGTAGTTGGACACCGGGCGGGGGTGGGGTGGGCACTGGGCTCTCCTGTCATTAGATTTGCACTTCCAACCTTCCTCTCTCTCTCTCTCTCTCTCTCTCTGCTTCCTGGCCTCAGAGCAGGACCCTGCTCGGGCACAGGGCGCCGGGCACACCATGGCCGACGCCGACGAGGGCTTTGGCCTAGCACACACTCCCCTGGAACCAGATTCAAAGGATGTACCCTGTGACTCCAAGCCCGAGGGCGCGCTAGGGGCCCCCAGCAAGTCTCCTTCATCCCCGCAGGCCGCCTTCACCCAGCAGGTAAGAAGACCTCTCCAGCCTAGGAGCCCTTTGCAAAACCAGAAGGCCCTCCTGTGGGGGGGAGGGGAGGAGGGTGGATTGCCGGTGGCCGGTAATTGTCCCCCTTTGCTTTTTTATCTCTGCTCATCCCGCTTTCCTATGCCCTGCCTCCCCCCAGTACCAGCGTATTCCAATCCACTTTATTGTGACGATAATCTTTATGGCCAGAGGATTTGGGCAATACATTTAAGTTGTTAGAGAAGCCTTCATTATCTGGGCTATTTGGGGTCAGCTAACAATAGCCCAGATCATTCCGTTGCTGCCACGCTAGGTGTAGGCTCGGCCCCGAGCACCTCATTAAGGGCTGGGTCAGCGGCTGCTTCAGGCCAGCGTGAGCGATGGCTTGACCCTTCTTCAGATCTTCCTTAGCCCTCGCCTCCGCCCGCCTTCTCCGAGCCGGAGACCCTGGAGTTCGAGTTGCACTATTTGTCTTGGGCCGGGCTCTGGAGGGCTGGCCCGCCCTGGCCGGTGGCGGGGAGCACCGGGCTGTGTCAGGAGGCCGCAGGGACCCACAGGCTCCCCTGGCTGGAAGCTGGGCGCCAGTAGAGGGTGAGGCCTCCTAGGCCGTGCGCTCTGTGCCATGTTTCCCCGGCGTTCTGGATGCTCACGGAGGCCCACGGAGCCCTCGGGGATTTTAAATAAGGTGTCAAAGGGCACAAAGCGGGGGGACTTGACCCGCAGAGGTATTTGGACATAGCTAAAGCCCTCCTTTGCGATTTCCATGGATGTCCTTCCTGGCTACCTCATCGACTCTCTCTCTTCCCCTTCCTGTGTCTGGGAAAACGCACGAGTCGCTGTAGAGAGCCAGGGGACAGTGGGCACACAGTGTGGGAAACTGAGATTTCCTTTTCCGAAAAGCAAATCCGCTTATTAGGACAGTTATGGATTATCGCAAAACGAAAATTTTGCATAGAACTTTCTCGGCATCGGTTTAGGAAAGTAACTTCTAGCTGCAAGCGCAAATGTTCAACGGTTTCAGCTGCGCCCGTGATCCAAACAGCTCGAAGCGAGCAAAGTTGGACGTGAGAACCTCGAAGGTTCGTTAATACAGACGTATTATCATCGGAGGATGAGCTCTTTGGACCGTGGGGACCTATTATTATACGATAGACACATTTTTAGATTTGCGTTTTCTCTCGAGCCTGTCTTTGCACCGCCATGGTGAGATGAAACACGCATCCGGGTAGTATTTGCACGTCTGTGTGTTTGTGTGTGCGTATGGGGGGTGGCTATACGTGAGAATGTTCCGAGTGGGCTTTTGTGAGATGACGTGTGTTTGTTTTTGCGTTTTGCCTTTGTCTTTTAGCCGCATCTTGGCTAAAACAGATTGAGATTGGCCCCCCATTTTTTTCCCCTGGGCCTGTTAGGTCTGTTCCCATGGGTGTGCTAGAGGACCCTGAGGTCTGGGGACTTTTCTCTAGCCTTGTGTTGGTGGCGTTAGGAGACAGCAGGGCACCTAACTGCTGGGGGGTGCTTGCACTGGGATTCTTGGGCAGGTCTGCTGGTGCCCCAGACCTGGCTCGGGGCAGTTCTCAGCCTCAGAGGCCCGAGGCTCTGGAGGGAAGAAGTCTGTGTGTGTGTGGAGTCTGGGGGAAGGGAAGGCCCACCGCTCCTGGAGCCGGTCTGTGTGACTTTTCTCTCCTCTCCGTAGGGCATGGAAGGGATCAAGGTGTTTCTCCACGAAAGAGAACTGTGGCTGAAATTTCACGAAGTCGGCACAGAAATGATCATAACCAAGGCTGGAAGGTGAGCAGGCCATCTCTGTTGCCCAGGGGTGGGGGGGCGCCTGGGCAAATCGTGGGAGAGACAAAGAAGGGAGAGACAGAGACGGGGAGAAAGAAGTGGGGGTAGAGCAAAGAGAGACTAGAGCAGAGCAGAGAGAACGAACGTATTTTGCTTGACCCGATTTTGGATGAAGATGCTGGGAGAATCCCTGCACTGACCTGCATCAACCCGCGGAGGAAATGCTTGTTCGATTCGCCTCTGAAACAGGGCATTGCTCCCACCTCTTATAGGAGAAGAATCCAGAGCTCTGGGGACTGGTCGTGGGGGAAAGCGGGACGACGGGGAGAGAACAGGGAAATCTGGGAGGTGCGGAGCGTGCACAGAGATGAGCCCCGCTTTCCGCCCTGACTCCTGGCTCCCACCCTCCGTCCCACCCTCCCTGACCTTGGAGCGGCTCCAGCATCCAACCCGATTGCCAAACTCTGAATCGCTGGATGTATTCGCTACCTCTTTCATTGTTTATAGAAAGCGGGCGAAGCCTTTGAAACTGAACCGGGGCTCGGCCGGGCTCTATATATACAGACACCGATAAACATGCCGTTTCGCCAAGAGACTCACCCGGAGTTCCTCTTAAAAGCTCGCAGGGTTGTGGGGTTTTTGCTTTTTTTTTTTTTTTTTTTTTTGCTAGAAATACTAAACTTCTGGGGGAAGCTGTTGGAGGGTCAGGCAGCTTCGTGTCCCAGGGGCAACAATGTGCGCTCAGGAGCCCAGGCCTGGGGGCGTCCTCACCCCAGGCCTCCTGGGTGCCAGAGGGGCCCTCCGAGTCCCAAGGGCACAAAGCCCGAACGGTCGCGTGAAGCTGGCGAGGCCGGGAGGCCGGAGCCACCGAGTGTGTAAAGGGGGGCGGGGGGGGAGCCTCCTCACCAGGCCCCCCGGGTCCCCAGCCCAAGCCTCCCGCAATAAACTGACAACGGTGACATTTATTATTATTTGAAATTAAACAACTTTTGCTCCCCCGCTCGGCCTGAGTGAACCAGGAGGCGCGTTCTGTTTATACTGAAGGACTGAGTTCTGCCTATTCTGCCCCAGGAAGGAAAGACACGGCCCGGGTCCCCTCTCCCCCCGCCAAGCCTGAGCTGAGGGGATTTAACTATAAAAGGCCTGGGAAACCTCCCTCGCGCTTGCCTGCAGGCGGGCGAGCTCAGGCTGATAAACACCACCAGGCTTAGGCTCCAGGGCCTCCCTCCACTCACCCCTTCTCACCAGCCCTGGGTGAGCCGGGATCCAGCAGCAGCCCGGTCCTTCTGCCCCACTAGCCACAGGCTGCCCGCTGGCTTTCCGGGGAACACCCCATCCCCCTCCACGGGAGGGCTGGGAATTTGGAGACCGCTGAAGGGGGGGGGCACAGCGCCTGTAGACCCCGAAACACCCGCCTACCCCGAGCCCCTCCTGGTTCAGGCCCCCGTCTCTCCGGAAACCAAACCTGCGTGGGTTCTGAGTTTCTTTGCTGGGGGCCGAAGGGTTTAGAGTCTCCAAGGAAGGGCGCCAGGCGCCTTGGCGAAGTTGCGGGGGGTGGGGGGCATTTAGGAATAAATTGAGGCCTGAGGCTGGTGGCAGAGGTCACCAGCTGAGCTCCACTCCGGGGTGGAGGCCCGAAGCCAGGACAGGAGGTGTATGGGCACCCACGGGTGTGCAGACCCAAGGGCACGCACACACCTCGGTGTCCGCACATGGACGCACAGCATCCAAAGCACCTGCCCGACCTGCCTGGGCGGAGGAGGCCAGCTTTTCACCTAATGAGGCTCTTTCTGCCCCTAAATAAAAAAGCAGTTCTCTGGCTCTGAAAAGAGTATTTACAAAGAGCAGAAACGGAGGCCCTGGTTCTCTCCAGAAGCCCTCGCCTCCAGGTTTCTATTTTCCTCCGAGTTACAAATAATCACCAGCCTCCCGCTCACCTCTGGGCTCTTCTCCTCCCCGGAACTGGAAGGGAAACCCGGGATGGATTGTGGCAAGAGCGGAGCGGGGGCCACTCATCTCCCGCATGCTTCTCAGGCCGTGGCTTCTTTCGTTAAGACGTGTGGACATGCTCTTTAAGACATTGGCATTGATTTTCTCTTTCTCTCGCTCGCTCTCTCTCCCTGGCTTTCTCGGGGTCTCCCTCCTTTTCTCCCCTAGGCGGATGTTTCCCAGTTACAAGGTGAAGGTGACGGGCCTTAATCCCAAAACGAAATACATCCTTCTCATGGACATAGTTCCCGCGGATGACCACAGATACAAGTTCGCAGACAATAAATGGTAGGTGCTGGTGTGGGCAGGTGAGGAGAGCATGGAGGCGAGTGGGGGGGGGAACCCCTTCCCCTCCCCCCTGCACCGAACCAAGCAACATTTTCTGCGCTCGCTCGTACTGTGCGGTAGAGGCTTCTGCACCCTCCCGACCACCCTGAGAGAAAGAAGCAGCAGCCATTAGCCCCCATTTTATAGACAAGGAAACTGAGGCTCACGGGAAGTAAAGGGCTCGTTATCTGTTGCTGCACCCTCGGGTTGTGCCTTTTTAAAAAGCGTATTGTTTCCAAGCGCTGGAAGTATTTCTGGGGGCATAAAACCATTTACAGTTATTTTTTATGAGTTACCTGCTTTGAACAGGCCTCCTTTTATGAAATTGCAAAGCCGGGCTGTGGCATTTGAGTTAAACAGGCAAGAGAGGAGAGAGGTCCTTGGGTGGCTTGCTCCCCGTGGCTGCCAAGCTTACAGGGGCTGCAAGAGGAAGGCCCATTTGAAAGCCCTCAAGAATTTTTCTTACAGATTTTTTTTGGGGGGGGGCGTCCAGGCGTCCAGAACCTACGGATTGTTCGAGGGCGGCAAGAGGCTGCGAGGCTGCGGTGCAGGGGAAGAGCGAGGTGGAAGAAGAGAGAGCTGGTTGGGGGGGGGGGGGCTCGCCTGGCTGCAGGCGTTCTGGGCGCCTGGGCTTGCAGATGCCAGGGAGAGAGGGGGTCAGGCCATTTCCAGATGGTTCTCCTAGTCCGCTGCCCTCGACAGCACCACAGGGTGCTAAGTCTGCGTGGGTTTCGCCCCCGCCTCGGTCTAGGTCTGTGACGGGCAAAGCGGAGCCCGCCATGCCGGGCCGCCTATACGTGCACCCGGACTCGCCGGCCACCGGGGCGCACTGGATGCGGCAGCTGGTCTCCTTCCAGAAACTCAAGCTCACCAACAACCACCTGGACCCCTTCGGGCATGTAGGTACCTGGCGCGGCCCACGGGGACTCCTCCCAGTCTCTGTCTGTCCGTCTGTCTGTCCATCCTGTCCCCGCTCCTCTCCTTCTCCCAGAGTTTTTCTCTTCTTGGCTTCTCGCAAGTCCAGCCTCCCCTTTCCTTGCTCTGCCTGAGTCTCTTCCTCCCTGATCCGGCCTCCCCTTCCCTTCCCTTTCCTCTGACTTCTCTCGCCTTCTTTCCCTCCGGCGCCGCTCTCTCCCGTGCGGTCCTCTCTGTGATGCGCTGGCTGCCCCAAGCTCTCTGGGACCACCTTTCCGGGGGAGCTGGAGAACTGAGGTCTTGGGGAGACGGAATCGCGTGCCCCTGGCCTGGCCCCCAGTCCCATCTATGCTTAGGGGCGGGTGGCCGCGTTTCAGATCTTCGGAAAACACGGTCCTGCCTGCCCAGTGGGCACTCAGCCCCGTTGCCCGAAGGCTGGGCCGCGGTGGGAGCCGCAGATACCTTCCCCGCTCACCTCCAGATTCTGCCTTATTATTGACACGCTCCAGCCGAGAGGGAGACGCCAGGCCACCCGCTCCCTCTTTTACGGACGGGGAAACCAACCTGCCCGAGGTCAACCCTCATTTCCCTTTTAGCTGATGCTCTGGAGGCTTATGTTCTCTTCCCGCAACTTCTAGCCTTCCTCTCCCGCACTCCCTGTTCCCCGAGCAGGCATATGTAGACCAGGGTCCTAAACCTGGAATCCGGACTGGAGAGCACGACTTCGGTGAACCCCCTAATCTGCGTGCAGGACATTGAGGGTGCCCTCCCCCCCCCCCCCCCGCCCCCGCTTCCAAGAGAGTGTGTAGTTTTTAGCGGATTCTCCAGCTTGGAGTAGATTTCTCTTCATCAGTGAAAAACAAATAGCAGAACACTGATTTTGGGGGAAATGTCTCTAGGTTTTTTTCATTGGAAATAATCCATCATCGAGACAGAACACGGCTTCCGGATTCAGTGTTCACACCCTCAGCTTGATGATGCCACCGTACAGCGGGCTCCTCGGTCCTAGGTGACCCTCATTACTGCCTAGAAATGAGGACAGGAGTATGGGAGGCCTTGTAAATGGGAGTCCAGGGGAGGGGAGGGGACTTGCCCAAGGTCATGCAGCTTGTGTGTGAGAGCAGAGATTTGAGGCTTGATCTCGCTCCAAGGGTGATCTCTGCCCTGCCAGGTGGTCTCTTGAGGGAAAATCAACAAACGCTCCCCGGTTGAGGGAACTGGGTTTGCCAGGATTTGATCCAGAGGGGGGGACAGCTTGTGAAGGTCCAAATGGGCGAATCCGGCCCTGTGGGACCTTAGGGCTCAAACACTGAGCCCCCAGGGGCTGGGATGGGGACGGGACAGTGAGTGCTTGCACCGCTGGCGCTGGGGAAGAGAGGAGGAAACCCCATTTTCTTCCGTAGGCTCTCTGGACAAAACGCCCGGCCTCCTTTCCGTTTGGACCAGGCAGTTTGCCCGCCGCGTCCGGTGGGCTGTCGTGTTCACTGCGCAGAAATGCCCTCGAGCGTGCGTGGGCGGCCCGCCGGCCGGGGTGACGCGTAGCCGCGGGCAGCGAACCGAGACTTTAGGTTAAGCGCTGCGGGAGAAGTGGGCCGATCTGTCAACCTTCCGCGCGCTCTCCCGCAGGCTGGGCGGAAGGGACCCCTGGCCGGGGTCTCCGGAACCTTGGCGCGCGCGCCTGCGGGGCTTTGCCCCAGCCCTGCCCGGCCGCCTCGCTTTTCCGCTGCGGTGCCTTTTGCGGTGGCGATGGGGTGCGCGCCTGGGGAAGGCGCGCAGCCCCGCAACCAGGCTCCCGCACCCTTGCGAGGTCCTGACCCTCGGAAGAGGGAGGGTGCTCGGGGCTGCCACGCAGCTCTCCCCGCCCCCACCCCCGACTCGGACTTTTGGGTCCAGAGCCGCCCTAATGAAATTAGGAGCCATTAGATCGCCCTCGCGCTGATGTCTCGCCACTGTCCCCGGCCGTCAAAGCAATTTGGTTAAGCCGGGACGATGGCCGCGCCGGCTGCGTCTCTCTGTCGCCGGCCCGGCGTCGCTATCGGCCAGGGAGGCGGCCGGAGATTAGGGCCGAGCCGCGGGGCCCCGGGTTCCCGCCCTCCCCGCTTCCCCTCCCTTTCCTCCGGGCGGGTCTTAAGGGTTGGCCCACGGACCCTGCCCCAGGGTCATCACCGCGCAAAGAATCAAAGACACCAGACGGGTGCCTGACCTGGGGAGAAAGCAGGCCAGAGTTTCAGCCCGTTGAGCCGGCGACGGGCCCATTGGGTGGGTATCTATCAGAGCGGTCGATGCCTGTGGGCTTTCAGGGCCTCCCGAAATTGTCAAAAACCAGGTGTGCTGCAAACAGCAAAGGCAGTTTTCTTAGGAAAGATGCTCCTCTCCTAGGAACAGCCCCGTTCCAGCAGAGGGAGGGTGTGGAGTCCGGAGCCCCCTCCCTTAATGCTGATTATAGTAGCTGTACTCCTGGTATTATTCGTGATCCTGTGTGCCCACCGGGAGTACCCCAAACATAGAGAAAGGTAGAAAGGGAGGAGAAAGCCATCCCCCCCCCCCCCCAAAGTAGATGCAGCAATTCTATCTCCGGCCAAATCTGGAGATCAGGATTGTAGGATTGAAATGTTGGTGAAGTTGTAGAAAGGGAAACTGAAAGAAAGCAGGTCCTCCTTTGCTGGGGGGGGGGGGTGATGGGGGTGACATGGTGATGCCTCCTCCCCCCAATCTCACTGTCCTTGGAAGCCCACACCCCCCCTTTCTATGATCCTCTTTTTTTTTTTTCATTGATACTTTGCACCAAACAGAGGTGATTTTTATTCCAGTTCTGCAAACTCTTGGTCTTTCCCTTTCCATCTCTTACAGTGTTATTTTGGGGGTGGGGAGTGTGCGTGGAGTGGAGGATGCTTATTTGTTTGTGTCTTCTCCCCTTTCACCCCAAAACGGACGCTTAAACATCCTCCCACCCTCCCAGCACCAGTTCCCTGCCTCCCTCCTGTTGCTGGGGGTGGGGGGGGTACCCTCTGCAGGAGCTAATTTATTAAGCAAACTTTATTAAGAATTCTGATTTACTGCCGTGTGTGCTTTGGGTAGATTCCTGGAATATTACCCTGGCTTTTTGGGTTGGAAATTGTCATTTTTGAAATGTTTCTTTTTAATGAAGTCACTGGCCCCTTTTCAAAACAGGAGGGAAAAAAATCAGACTTGAGGCGAACTTTAGGGGTGGAGAGTGGGGTTTTATCTGAAGCAAAGGGGGTCTTGAGTGTTCTTACAATCTCCTTCTCTTTATGATTTTTAGATTATTCTCAATTCCATGCACAAATACCAGCCCAGATTACACATCGTGAAGGCAGATGAAAATAACGGATTTGGCTCAAAGAATACTGCGTTCTGCACCCACGTCTTTCCTGAGACTGCCTTTATCGCGGTGACTTCCTACCAGAATCACAAGGTAAGTTGATACCTGGGTGCTGGTTCCGGGGCTGTCTCTTCGTTTGAATGAAAAAAATGTGCAGATGTCTCCTGCTGACACTTTTTATACCGTTAATGGCTCTCTAATTCCCCACGGGCTGAGGCAGGACAAAACTACCAGATCGCAGCTGTTTGTACTGTGTACACGCGTTGTGTATGACTCTCCGTCTCTCTTTATCTCTCATATGTAGACACACACACACACACACACACACACACATGCAGACATGCGCCCGCCGGTTAGACACAGGCTTATCACACGGCAGGGGACCCCGCACTCAGATGCAACAACAAGGCATCTCTGCACTTTGCAGTGATCGCCAAGGAGAAAGGTCATTTTCGCGCATGACTCCGCGCTCTTGGGTGGGAGCCTGATGCCGCCCTTCACGGAGCCTTTCTTTTTTTTCTGGTGGGGGTGGAGGCCTCTTCTCCAATCTGTCTTTGGGATGCGTTTCACCTTGAATCGGGACAGATGACAAAGCTGCCCAGGAGCCTTGGACTTTGGTTTGCCAGATCCTTCTCTAGATGGCTCAGTGGTTTTGGACCCCGGATGCCGGTGAAACAGGGTTGGCATTGTTGAAAAACAAGAACAAAAGCTGAGCACCCCGGGTCACCCCCCCAGCACCCTGGGTCACCCCCCAACAGTCCCCAGGAGTTAGACAAAACCCTGCAAAACCATCGCTTGGGGAGGGGAGGGATCCCTTGTTTTCTAGAAGACCGCTGGAGTGTGGTGTAGACGAAGGAGGGTGCTCGTGGGTCCTGTAAGTGTCAGACCCCACGCTGTTCAAAATCCAGGCCCTGACTTGGGCATTTCCAAGCTGGGCAATGCTATCAGAACAGGGCACCCCGAAACCAAAGGTTGGGGGAGTATCTTTTATCCTTTCCCAGGAGAAAAGGCTCGTCTTACTTGTCACGGGTCTCTTCTGTTCTTTAGAAACTTGAATGCTTCTGGACTCATTTTATTGGCGGGAGGGCGGGAGCGAATGATTCCTATGCCTACTAACGAAAGACATGGAATCTGGGGGGGCCGCCGTGGGGGTGCAGGTTGTTAGCATTAAATAGGGATTTGACTTGGAGAAGGGAAAGTAGAAGGTCCCAGGTGGGATCAGGGAGGGCAGGTCACTGGGGTGAGGAGACGGACGTGGGGATGGTAATGTCATCCTTCCCCACAGCTCCTGTCCCCCCCTGGCAGGAAGTCACAGGGACTGGGGAGAGGTGCGGGAGGCCAGGGCAGGGTGAGGGGTGGGTTCAGCACCCTAAAGCCTCCAGTCACCCCCGTGAAGGTGAGTCCAGTACATGCCGGGTGTCAGAAAGTGTCCCCCCACCCGCCCCAGTGAAGCCAGGGCCCTTACAAGATGCTAATCTCCAAATCCAGATGGCCGGTCACCAGGCCACGCAGCGATGGACGGTCCCTTCTAGGCGACCACGCCTGCCTGGGGACCCAGGTCTTGAAAGAGCTTCTCTCCAGAAAGAAAACTCACTCTCCCCAAATTGCAGTGATTTTTTTAAAGGCAAAGAAGGATTTTTTTTTTTTCTGAGTTTCAGCCCTGACGCATCAAACCAGCAAGAACAAAAACATGAGGGCCAGATCCCCTGAATGTCGCAAAACTGTTTCAGGCTAATTTGAATCTGGCTGTTAGAAACCTGTTTCCTCTATGGCCATTGTCAATCTATGTTTAACTTTGTGGTGACAGTCACAGGGGAAAAAATGGGAAAAAATAGTAACGAGGACATTCACCCTCACCCCCTCCCTCCCTCCCTTTCATACATATGTATATGCAGACATGTGTTACACACATATCTACACACACACACACACACAAACACACACGCACACACTTAGACCTGACAGAGGGTCCAAAGATATATCAGATCTTTTCTTTTCCTTCTTTCTTTCTCGCTAAGAAAGCCCAGGCTCCTACAGAAAGGACAGGAAATGTTAGACTCAGGAAGGGGCCCTGCTAAAGAACCAGGTCCCGTGGGAGCGAATTCCTAGGCCCCGTGTAGTTATGCTTGTAGGGGACCTAAGGAGCGTGAACACACTCGGTCTCTCTCCTTTCTGTCCCTTTCTTTGCTTTGTTGACGCCTAACTGTCCAACAGTCAACTGCGATATGCAAAGTGTACAATGTGACATGTGTATTATACTCACGAAAGTACCATCATGGCCACTTGTGAATATACCTGCCATGCCTAGATTTCCGTTTTTATTTATTTTCTTATTTTTTTTAAGTCTCTTAATTTATTTTGAGAGAGAGAGAGAGAGAATGAGAAGGGGAGGGGCAAGAGAGAGGGAGAGAGAGAGAATCTCAAGCAGGCTCCGCGATGACAGTGCGACGTGGGGCTCGAACTCACAAACCTAGACATCATGACCTGACCCGAAACCGAGAGCTTACCCGATTGAGCCACCCAGGCGCCTCCCCCACCGCCACCCAAATTTCTGTTTTTAAAAAGGTGGCCTCAATTCTTCCCCAGTGAATAAATTTAGTGATCGGTGCACTTGAAGGAGTGTCTGCCTAGTGGGATGTATACTTGTGAGGTCTGAGCACAATCTAGGGGGTTGTGTATCTAAATGCTCAGGGGTCTGAAAATGTGTGTCTCTAAATATGAATCTGGATGGCCACACGGGAGTTCACATATGGGAATTTATTTATTTTGAGAGGGAGTGCACAGCGCGAGTGGGAGAGGGGCAGAGGGAGAGCGGGGAGAGTCCCAGGCAGGCTCCACGCTGTCAGCACAGAGCCCGATGTGGGGCGGGAACTCACGGAACCTCGAGATCATGACCTGAGCCGAGATCAAGAGTTGGACGCTTAAGCGACTGAGCCACCCAGGTGCCCGCGGGTTTTTATTAGTATTATTTTTTTTATTGTTTGCGCCATAAAGGCTTTGGAGCCCACCTGGCATCCAGAAGAGGGATTCCACAGGAGATACTTGCAGTCACCCTCCCCCATAGGAGGCTTCCCCTGCTTTTTAGTTGCGAAGTACCGAAGGCACTCCTCTTCCTTATGGGGAGGTAGCCTAAGGCAGCGCATTTTCCCAGTCCCGTCCAGGGTCCCTCCAGACGTCCCCTGCGTGGCTATATGACGTGCGACTGGAAGAAGAGAGCCAGGCTGAGCGTGGTTGTGGACTTTGTCTTATTCCTTAATGGTCCCACCTGGATGAGGTGTTGAGACCCCCGACTTCATGGGCAGAAGCCACCTGAGCCCTTACTCGTCATTTCATAAGGTTAAGGTGGGGACTCTGGAGATAGGCTGCCTGGGTTGAAATCTGGCAAGTCACCTGACTCAGTTTTCCTCCTCTGTGCAATGGGGATAATACAAGAATTGGTTTTGTCACGGGGAGGACCAGGTCAAGATCGTCCTTGGAAAATTCGTAGTGCAGAGCCTGGCAAAGAGCAAGCATGGTGAGCGATGGGGCCGGTGACTGGCTACTCAACCGATCAGTTTAGAACAGGGCATCCCCGTCTGCAACACACGCTTGGAAACTCTTCGTCCCACCCCAACTGCTTCAGATTCTGAAAACCTGAGATTTTAAATACGTTCTCCTTACTGTGATTGCACAATAGCTACAGACATTAGTCTTGGTGGTTGAGTTGGTTCATTCCCCGAACGCACCCATCGATTCAGGGATTGTTTGCCCCACATGATGATTTGGGAAAATGAGCAAGGACAGAAAAGTGATCTGAGTGATTCAGCCGCCAGGACGGTTTGGGACCCTCTCGCACCGCTAATTTTCGGCGTCAACAGCCCCTTGTCCGCTTGGATACGGGTGGCAGGTGGAGGCAGGTACGTGGCCGGGCTCCCGTGCTGGGCTGTGGTCGCACACCCCTCCGCCACAAGGCTCCTAATGACACGATGTGTTTCCCCAGCCCAGCTGTGATCCCTGAGCTGGATTTGGGAGTTATTTCCCCAGATGGTTGACAGCTTGAAAAAGATATTTAAAAACTCGGCTCTTCCAGAGCGATGTTTTGCTCTGTGAAACGCGTTTTTGTAAGGCTTTCACCGAAGCTGTCAGCGGGGTCCAGAGCAATCCCTAGAAATACTTAGGTGTTAAAAAAAAGGTCACGTGGGCATCTCACGTCTCTGCTCTCGCAACAATGGCTGTGTTTGCAAGCGGCGGTCCCCCGATATTAACTTACTTCGCCATTAAAAGGCATTTTTTTTCTTCCTGCTTAAGTCATTGTGTAAGGAGCCTGTATTTATGAGGTACGAGCTTTCTGGTTGGGACCAGGAAATGAACCCCTAATAGAGAGACATAATTAAGATTTTTGGCCCTCGTGAGGTGTTTTTTTTTTTTTCCCCAAAAGCAAGAATTCACAACAATTATTCTCATTAATTTTTACAACCTCTGTCTCACTGGTCCGAGCTGGCATTTATATTTGTTTTTCCCCCACCCCCCTCAGCCCTCCCCCCCCCCGGATATCCGGTTTTATGCTGGCTTTGGAGGGAATGCATTTGTGGGATGTGGGGAAGTCAGTGGAGCCTTTTAGTAGAACTCAGACATCTGACTGTCGGCTCGTGTGCCTGTGAGTGAGCAGGCCAGCACACGCGGTGTGTCAGAAGGGCATTTCCTGGACGCAGTTGTACGGGATGAGGCGGACTTTTCCGCCTTCAGCTGACCTTGCATGTGAGCTTGTCTCAAGGGCGAAAACTCCTAGAACCTATAGGCATCTACGCTCAGTGTGCAACGCCAGATGTGTGTCCGATCAGCATACCTAGGTGTGTGTGTAGCAAATTGTGTTTGTCCTCTGCAATCATACTTCCGGAAGCGCAGAAATTAGGTAGTAGTAAACCTTTTGGTGGCGTAACGGATGGTTTCAAGCAAAAGACTTTTGAGGATGAAATACTTCCCCCTCCTTTTTTTTTCTCCCTTCGTGGTAATTGTTTGTCCTGAGCTCTTGGAGGAACAAGTGACATCATGGAACAGGCATTGATTCAGCACCAATGCCACACCCTTATGGTCTTCAATACTTCCAGGGACTGGCTTCAGTCGCTGGGGGGGGAGCGGGGGGCGTGGAGTAGAGCAACGATTCCCTCCCTCTGTTTTTAAATGATCGATTTTTTACTTAGCATATTGAGAATCCCTTCCTCCCTTAAAAAAAAAAAACAACATGATTTATGGTCAGTTGGGTTGCATTTTATTGTGACAAAGCCGGAGTGGGAAAAGAAGCTCCCGTAGGTGATGGGTCTTTGGGCTCAAAACAGAAGTGGATCCGGGAGTGCACATTTTAAAGACTGTTTTCCTAAGAGGTTTTATAGACATTTCTACTCGTTCTGAAGAGTCAAGTCAAGATCAGGAAGTTGTAGGAATGGGCATGGTGTTTTAAAAAAAAAACGAGGGAGGAGGGAATGTGTATACACATCCATGCCCACGCCTACTTTAAACGTTTTAAAATAGATTTTACTTTTTTTAAGAGCGGTTTCAGGTTTACGGCAAAGTTAAGTGGAAAGTACAGAGAGTTCCCAGAGACCCCTTGCCCCTCACCCTTCACGAAGGCTCCGCCCCCAACATCCACCACCAGAGTGAGACATTTATTATAATCGGCGAAAGCACGTTGACACGTCGTTATCACCCTGAGTCCACGTGAGGGTTCACTCGCGGTGTCATACATTCTGTGGGTTTGGACAAACATGTACGCACACGTGTCCGCCATTACTGTATCACACAGAATAGTGTTACTGAATATCCTCCACGCTCTGCCTCTTTGTCTCTCCCTCCACACACAACTTCTGGCCATTGCTGATCTTTGCCTTTTCTAAAATGTCGCATGGTTGGAGTCACATACCGTGTTTTAAAACGTCAATTTTACGTATTTTTTTGTTGCAAGCGCACGCACACGTGCACGTATATAATACAGTAACTTCACGTTCATTATAGAGTCTTGGAGGCAGAGGGCATCTCTTCTGGAAAACAGAACATACCAGAATGCCTGCCCCCAGGTGGATGAATTCTGGGTGCATTCACTAATTACTCCTGGTTTCCCCAAAGAAACTTGCTCAGTGTCTGAAAGTCTGTAGCTCTGCTCCCGGGGGTAGATGAGGTGTTTTTCACGGCTACTTGCGTACCATGTGATCACAGAGAAAGTGCTCTTGTTTGGATTACCTTTCCGTTCATCTGTCAGGGAGAGAGTGCAGGACCAATTTGTGTAAATTCATCTCGCTAAGTGTCTCGTTTCCCCTTGCAACAAAGTGAAGGCAGGCCTTGGGTTTAGAACTTTCTGTGGGTGCTAGTAGAGAGAACTGGCTACAGTAGTTTTCCTTTTATTGAATAGGTGGGCTGGTGATTCTGGTTCCACGTATAGAGAAGTGGTATATTTTTTATAAAATAAATGTAAACAAAGAGTGGTTTGACTTAGATCAAAGTACTAAGCAGACACAGGTGCTGTATAGATATGGTGCAGTCATGATAATGAAGGTGAAGCTAGCATCACTGAATTTGCCTAATGATGCCTTGGTGGCTGCAAAGTGATTTGATGAGGGCGCCTGGGTGGCTCAGTCGGTTAAGCATCCGACTTTGGCTCAGGTCATGATCTCATGGCTCATGGTTTCGAGCCCCGTGTTGGGCTCTGTGCTGACAGCTCAGAGCCTGGAGCCTGCTTCTGATTCTGTCTCTCCCTCTCTCTCTGACTCTCCCTCTGTCTCAAAAATAACTAAACATGGGGCGCCTGTGTGGCTCAGTTGGGTAAGCCTCCGACTTTGGCTCAGGTCATCATCTCATGGTTTGTGAGTTTGAGCCCCACGTCGGGCTGTGTGCTGACAGCTCAGAGCCTGGAGCCTGCTTCAGATTCTGTGTCTCCATCTCTGTCTGCCCCTCGCCCCCTTGCACTCTGTCTCTCTCTCTGAAAAATAAATAAAAACATTTAAAAAAGTAAATAAAAATAAAGGATCCTTAAAAAAAAAGTGATTTGATGCATAAACATGCGATTCACACGCAGCTTTTAGGAAATACTTCTAGCAAAGTCCGTAGGATGGGACTCTCTCCACTGGACCTGGTACAGTCCATCCATGCTTACAAACACGTGTTCACGGCCTACGCGAAAGTTCTGGCCTTTGAAACAGGGATCCTGTTCTGTTACTGAGTGTTGAACGTCAGAACCAGAATTTCCAGAAAGAGGGATCTCTCTTCTTTATCTAGAAAATTGAAGGGGTTTGGAGCTGACAGATACCGTGTGTGTTACCATTCCGTGTTTGGGTACCTGCTTAATTAGACACCGTCGTCCACCTGGGCTGGCCACCCCGGGTCTGTGGAGCCGAGTGAAGCCGGCATGAGGCCCGGCAGAATTTTGAAAGCAATCGAGTTTTTCCACACCGCCATCACCGCACTGCGGGAGGACCGTGCGTCAGCACTGTACAACCTCGTTGGGGGGAACCGAGCGCTGGGGGCCTAGACTGTGTTTGTAGCGCAGCACAGCAGGATTAAAAAACAAACCCAGCTGGGGCGAGGCAGGGTATGACTCCAATTAGTGGGCAAACCGAAACCAGGTTTTTTCCCCCTTTTAAAAGCGGTCTGATCTAGGACACTTTTCAAAGCCTCCTCTCGAATGAAGTGGTGGGTTCCATTGACGTGACCGGCTTAATTTGCTGCTCTTGGTTGCCAGAGGCTGCGTTTCCTGCAATTGAGTGAAAACCCAAGTCTCTCTCTCCCTCTCTCTCTCTCTCTCCTTCCTTCAGATCACCCAATTGAAGATTGAGAATAATCCCTTCGCCAAAGGCTTCCGGGGCAGTGACGACATGGAACTGCATAGAATGTCAAGAATGCAAAGGTAAGAAGGTGGAACTCTGAGCTCTTTTGTCTCCACGTCCCCATGGAGAAAAGGGGGAGCCAGCTACCTACAGCCCCCCCATCTGATAACCCCCCACATGCTCACCTGCGGCTTACACTATGGGACAGCCTGGGGGGGGGGACAGACACGTGTGTGTTCCTTTGGGGGGTGGGACGGGGAGAAAGCACAGGGGAACTTGATGCTCTCCATCTGGGCAACAAAAGCTAGAACTTTCTCTCCTCTCTCTCTTTGCTGTCTCTCTCCTTCTCGTGAACCCAATCCTTTCTCTTTTTCTTCCCATAAGTCACAGCCGACGAATGATTTTCTTTTTGGCCACAGCTCTCCATAAATGAAAGGGAAGTTAATGACTTGATTTCCTGGGGGTGAAATACAGACAAACTTGACACCATGTGGTGGTCCGGGGCACCGGGGGATTGGAAGCTGGTGATAAAAATTGCTCGGTATTTTTACATATCCTGTGGTCACGGTCGCTGATATGATGAATAGAAGGGGCCTATAGCAAATGTACATAGTGGGAATTTGGTCTGATTTGAAAGGGTTGTACAAGCATTGCCAATTTTGTCAAACATTCTCTTACCTCATGATACGCTTCCAAAATAACTTACCATATGGCGAGAGAATTAGAAATACATCTTGATTCCTTTGACCAGGAAGGGGTTTCTCTCCCCCCTCCCACCCCTTCTGGTGGGTTTAGTGTTTCAAAATAAAATGAGGTCATTTAGGAAGCTTTTCCTTATCCTTTGTGGAAGACATGAAAAGGGGGAGTCAGGCAGAAGGACCTAAGAGATCTAAAGAAAGATCGAAAGAAAGAAAGATCGAAAGAAAGAAAACCGAAGAGATCTAAAGAAAGGAAGAGGGAAAAAGCGCTGTGGTTTTGACATCGGTTTGGAAATACGTACCACGGGAACAGTTTTTCGATGGTGGGCTCACCTGATCTATGCACGCTTTTAAAAAATAACACCAATACCTTCAGATGCGCACACGTCCACCCCAGGATGATCGCCGGGTAGCAAGATGCTTTTTGTGGCCAAGGGAACCAAGTTCTTCAATTATATTTGTTAGAAAATGTTGGCTTTGAGTGTCTGCATTTGGAAAGCGGAGTTGGGTGAAGTCTACGGTCAGTGGAAAAGTTGACAGCAAGTACCACGTAAATTTGGGAGGGGTCAGAGGAATTGTTTGTGGCCCTGGGCTCAGGGTGCCAAGCTTTTTTTATTTCCACGGTGATCACACCCCCGCGCCATTCTGTCAGCTGTCCTTAAGGTGTTTTAGCCTTTGATAGAGTCTTACCTCAGCCCTCCTGGGGGTGGGGCGCTCTGGCGGCCGAGCAGGTAGGGGCTGGATGAGATGAGAGCCACCCCCTTCCAGCCTGCAAACCCAGAGTTTTTCCATCCCTCGAACTTTCCTTCCTTCCCACAAAGTCAACAGCAGGTGGGATAATGGATTGAAGGTGTTGCAAATCACCCCCTCACACATACCAGTCACCCGGTCCTGTTGATCTAGCCTTCTTAACATATGTCCGAATTCACCCCCCACCCTTGCCAGGCTGTCTGTTCCAGCTGCCACAGCCTCCTGGGTTATGTGGGCCCTTCTAGGACTTTCTCCAGGCAGCTGCCAAAGACATCTTTGTAAAACACAGATCAGACGAGCTTGCTCCACAGCCTAGAACATTCCCAGGCTTCCTGATGCTTTCAGGGGAAGGTCGTCCAGACTCCTTCCCGTGGAGGGCCGTGCCCTTCCTGTGTGACCTGTCCACTGCCCTAGGTTGTCCCGTCCAGTGGCCCCTCTCTGTCTCAACCATGCAGAAAGGGATGCTCGACATGTGGATTCTTGCCGTGATTTTTGGCCCTTTGAACAGCACGTCTGGTGTTCCTCAGGCTTCCTCCCTTCCTCCTCACTTGACCATCAGCTGCCCGTCACTAGGTCTCCTTGGAGCTGTCCCTTCCTCCAAGAGGTGTCCCCTGGCCACAGACCATGTATGTCTGTCCCTGGGATCCCTCACTACTTTCCTGTGTCAGGCCAGGGCCCTGAGCTTTAGAAGTGGATTCACTAGATGATAGACACAGAGGAAGAGACAGGTAGGGAAGTGAAGGTGTCTGGGAGCCTGAACGTCAGTGACCCCAGGGGACTCTGTCCTGAAGTTCTAAACACAGCTGGCTGGATATTTAGGCAGACGACTCTATTTTGGTCTGAGTTGGCTGTCCCTCTCATCTCTCAGTTATTGGAGATCGGCTAAGGGCTGTCTCAGGATCCTTTTTGGGGAAGGCACGTGCAGAAAAAGGCAGGAAAGGGTGGCCCGTCGTCAGTAGGCACTCAGTAATTGACATGTTGGATCAAAACTCTCAGCTGAAGAACCACGTGTGTCTTGGTGGCCATGTTAGGAGTTGCACTGGGGAACCAGGCTGGGAGAGTGGACAGGGTCCTCTGCCCAGGTCTGTGGCTGTGGCCCCTGAGAAGGGGACAGAGTAAGGCAGAGGGGCTCCAACAGAAGGCTTTGGGGGTCCAACGAGCCTGGGTTCCATCCTTGCTCTGCATTTCTCAGCATGTGACCTCGGGCGAGTGACTTAACCTCCCAGAGCCTCAGTGTCTTCATCTGTCAAATGGGCACACATAAATACAGCCTCCATTTTCCAAGGTTCTCATAAGAACCAATATGAGGGAATGTCAGCAGGATGCGTGGTACCTAGTCCCAGCTCGATATAACGTCTCTGATTTGGGGGAAGACTCCCCGTTACCCCCAGTTTTGCCCTCGTGAAGCATTGATTCTGGGCTGTGGTCCCAGCTCCCAGTGACAAGTGGGGGAGATGGCTGTCCGGAGTCGGCTGTGATAACGGCCAGGCCAGCACAGCAGGCTCCCTGTTCATCTCGTAATCCTGTTTCCTGTCCCCTGCACACCCGGTGACAGCTGGCTACGGGAGGGGGGGCGGGGGAAGGAGGAATGATCTTTCCTCTAATTCCAACAGTTGGAAGAAGGGAGAGGGCCGAACATTGACTCACGGTCAGCCCACATAAATAACGTCGGCATTGGCTCGGCAGATGTCTGGGCACTCACCCGGCCATGCCTCTTCACCCAGCTCTCCGCGTTTTTTTGAAAATGCAGATGGTGTCTTAGTTATTTTGCCACGTAGGACTTCTAGTTACAGAAACAAGGCCGCTGATTATAAAAAACAAATGTGAGAGCTGCAGAAAATGCACAAAGAAGATAAAATTATTTTAAAACCCCGTCTTTAGCAGAGTGATTAAAATATGTGCCAAGGTTATTCTGCAGGGTTAATCTGTGGCTTCAAAAACATCTTCTGCTAAAAACCGATATTTTCCAAATGACAGGGCCCCCTCCCCTGGTGACAGATGGGTGATTTTAGAAGGTGGATGGCCACTAGCATATCAGGCTGATTTTATAGATGTTGGTGCTTTCAATGAGGCTGGTTCTGAAGCGGGAGGGAAGGAGGGAGGGAAGGGGGAGGGTTAAGGCTGATTATTTAAGGGAAAATATTAACTGAAGAGCAATACAGCTGGAGTAAAGGTTTGGTGAACTGGTCAAGGTCATAGGCGCGCGGCAGACGTTTGGGAAATACCCCTAAATGCTCATCCTAACGACAAAGGTGTGGGAGCCTCGCTGCTGTTTGAAATGATCTCGGCTCCGGTGTTCCGTACAGCATGGCCTTCTCGAATTTTGCTCCAGTCTTTAAGATGTGTTCAGTCAAGTTGTGAACTTGGCCAAGGCCAAGGACTCTGGGGGTGGAGGTGGGGGCCCTGGGAGGAGGGGAGATGGGGGAAGGAGAGGGTGGGAGCCCGGCCTCTTGGGACGAGTGGCATTTGCACTGTTGGGAAGAAGGGTTTTCTGCTTTGGATCAGGGTAGAAGTGGGTAGGAATCTGCAAGTCTTGGGGTGTAGAGAGGGTCACACTCTGAAGCTCTCTGAAAGCCAGCCAGGTGGCACAGTGACATGGTGGCTTGGGGAGTATGGCCGCCCCAAGAAGCATAGGATGCTACAGACAGAAGGGGACCACAGGAGACAGCATCTCCCCCAGTTTCCTCCCTTTTACAGAAGGGGAAACTGAGGACCAGAGACTCATTAATTCATGCAGTTTCTGATCTATCAATCTGTTATTCAGTTAACACTCATTTATGAAGTGCTTGCTGTACACCAGGTGCTGAGGATGCAAAGGTGAATCCCCAGGGCAACAAGGGCCGCTGGCTTTGGGGTCAGGGCCACCCATGGAGTGGCTCCGAGGGCTCCCCTATTCCACCGAGCCTCTACTTCCTCATCTGTAAAATGGGGGATGATTATAGAAGCCGCCTCCAGGGCTGTTGCATGGGTGAATGAGGTGATGTATGCATCCTGATTACTCTTGCAACATAACTGGCTGCTCCCAGGCTCCGCTGGGACGGGCTGGGAAGCTACGCCTTCGTTTCGTGGGTGTGGCTGTAAATCCGGGACTCCAGAACGCTAGACCTGGCTCACTCTGTGCTTCCACAGCCCGCTCAAGGGCCACGGAAGTACAAGCGACCTCAGCGCTTCAGGAGGAGTTGGGAGGCCATCCACGTGCCCCTGAGCCCCACCCAGGCACGGTCCACTAGCCCTCGCTCGGTGATGCTCTTCACCACTGCTGATGCCGAGAAGACCAGGCGTCGCTTGTCACCACTGTGTGCCCAGTGAAGCAGGAAGTCACAGGGGAGCACTTTTTTCCTCTTCGTGATGGGTGGGTCGGGAACTTGGAAAGGGCTCGTCTGGGCAGTTCTCGCCCGCAGTCAGGCGTTGGTTGGGGCGGCAGGTAGCAGAAGTCCCGTGTCCGCGATGGCGCGTTGCCGTGGTGACCAGCTGGTGCTACCTTTCGGCTGGGACCTCACTGGGCTGTGCGTGGGGGACCCTGAGTGGTCAGACTCCTCCTGGGGCTGCCGGCTGCTCCCAAGGGAACCAGGAGGAAGCCGAGACACTCTTGTTTAAGATGTGTAGTGTGACTTCTGCGGCATCCCGTGGCT